CTCCCTTTATTGGCTCCTCCAGCTCCCCCCGTATGGCCACCAAGAAAGAGCCAACCATGAGGTCTCCCAGTCCGGAAAAATACACAATGCGGACAACGTTGCGGAGTGGCAAGTCTGGGGACAAGCCAGCAAAAACAGCACGTAAACTGTCAAAGACCGAGGGGCCTGGAGCCAGCAAGGCCGCAACACTGGCTTGGAGTGCTCTCGGCTCTAGAGAGCGACTGGCTCGGGCATATCCTATGCTACCGGAGCCTTCATCGTCTGCTCCTACTACACCCAATGAGTCGTCACGGAAACTAGGGTCTTCATCTGGCGCACAATGGGACGTTCACACCAGAAGACTTGTTCCACCTCGAGACGCTGTCTCGTCGTTTTCTGACGCCGTAGGTAGCGCAAGAATATCTGATGAGTTAGCACACAGTCGAGCATCGTCATTGTCCCTGAGCGCGGCATCGAGCGCTTTGAACGCTGTGCCTAACCCAGACATATCTCCTGTCGAGTATAGCACGCCGAAGCAGGAGCGGACGTGGCGCTCGCGAGACCACCCGTCGTCATTTCCACGATCCAGAATATCCCCGCATGGGCGAACTCCCTCCTCCGATGCTGACGACTTTGAATTACGGCGCAAGAGCACGCCAGATGGAACCAAATTCCGGAAGAAGCCTGTCGAAAACACCCCTATTCGGCTCAACGGCAACTTGACAAGCGGATCGGAGCCGGACAAAGCTACGCGATCACGACGTGGTGCCCACCGACCTAGGAGGTCTTCGTCTTCGAGTTGCTCGGATAATTCAAGGGCGACTCCCAAGGCATCGGACAAGAAGTGGAAGGGGAAGCGCAAAGAAGACGCTGTGGTGGCTGATGCTGAAGCAGCCTCGTCTGCAGAATCTGCGGAGGGCGACAAAGGAGAGTCTTTGACCAAGGTGGCCTGGAAATCTAAAAAGAAGGAGATCATGAAAAATTTGCCGTCGGGTGTGGACGAGACAGCCGCGAAGCAAATCCTCAACGAGATCGTAGTGCAGGGAGACGAGGTCCGCTGGAGTGATGTTGCTGGTCTGGAAGTCGCCAAAAATGCGTTGCGAGAAAATGTTGTCTACCCATTTCTGCGTCCTGACCTGTTTATGGGGCTTCGTGAGCCTGCGCGGGGTATGCTGCTCTTCGGTCCACCAGGTACTGGTAAGACTATGCTGGCTCGCGCCGTAGCCACAGAGTCCCGGTCGACCTTTTTCTCGATATCGGCAAGCAGCTTGACGAGCAAGTACCTCGGCGAATCAGAGAAGCTTGTGCGAGCGCTGTTTGCACTGGCAAAGACACTTGCTCCGAGCATTATCTTTGTCGACGAAATCGATTCGCTGCTTTCTCAAAGATCTGGATCTGGGGAGCACGAAGCGACAAGAAGAATCAAGACTGAGTTCCTTATACAGTGGAGTGATCTACAGCGAGCTGCAGCAGGTAGAGCAGTTGACGAAAGGGACAGAAACCGAGGAGATCCCAATCGAGTTCTTGTTTTGGCGGCAACCAATCTTCCATGGGCCATCGATGAAGCTGCCCGCCGCAGATTCGTGAGGCGTCAATACATACCACTCCCCGAGCCGGAGACGCGCTCAACACAGCTTCGCACACTCCTGGGTCAACAAAAGCACAACTTGTCTGATCTAGATATCGAGAAGCTTGTTTTACTTACTGATGGTGGGTTTCAATGTAGAGCCCAACTGTTTAGAATCCAGATATGATGCTTACACGAGTAGGATTTTCCGGTTCAGACATTACGGCGCTAGCCAAAGATGCAGCCATGGGTCCTCTTCGTTCTCTGGGCGAAGCTCTTTTGCGCATGACAATGGACGAAATTCGGCCGATCTCACTGGCGGACTTCGAAGCAAGTCTAGGCACCATTCGACCCAGCGTCAGTAAAGCAGGGCTCAAGGAGTACGAAGATTGGGCAAGAGATTTTGGTGAGCGAGGGGGGTGATGCAAGCAGCGAGTGAGGTTTTTTTCTATGGTCGATGTCACAACACACATGGTCAGCGTTGAGAGGGTGGTCTATGCGATACCCTCTGGTAATGCTTGCCTATTGGCATTAGGGCGAGGCATGTAGTTCTTACTTTCTCTCGCTTTTGCAGAGGACGATAGAGGGGCTATGTCTTTGAACAAAAGCATGAGGTTGCTAAGCTAGTAATAATATTCATACAGTGAGCTCTCTCCGACCTATAAGGCTCTGCGGAAGCCGTTGCTTGAACGAGGCACTGCTCATGATCCAATGCAAAACTACTTCTCCTGTTGTACAGCGTGGCATTTCATTCCCATGCACGTAGGATTGTGTGATTATTCCCCACCACCTATGTGGTCCGTCCATCGATGTTCAAGCTCGGGCTTGGCTAGGGGTAGCTTTCGTGGATTCCTCCTGTTTCCTTGCGGTTCGTCTGGCAACCTTTGCCTCTCTTTTCTGTACTTGAGCTGCGATTCTCTCCTCCTCAGACGGGATCGGCGGCCGTTCCGAAATGGGTGTGCCGTAGGGTGCGATGATGTTCTTGACGACATGGCGCTTGTGGGGAGAAGTTCTCCATCCGGGGACGATGGAGATAACGTCGCCAGTTCGGAGGGAGGAGTTAGGGTCGTGGACAAGGTAGTTCTTGGGCTTCGTGAACATCTGTTACGTACACAGTAGTGTCAGTCGTTTGCAAAGTCGATGCAGGAAGGAGGCAAGAGCTGGCGCATACCTTTTGGACCGCCTGCTTCCACTGCTGGCCACCCACGCGCACCTTCACAGTCTTCTGCATGAGACCGGCGCTCACGACGACACCGTGCAGCTCGCGGACAACTTGGCGCGCTGCCGTCATGGCCTGGTTAGACATGATGGATGACGGAACTCCTGTTGGTTGGCGTGGGACTAGGCTCCAACAAGCGGTTCGTGACACTTAACGGTGATCTCTCGATCGATATCTCAAGCACCGTTAAAGAGAGTTCGGTGGCCGTCGTTAGATCAATCAGTTGTGCAATAATCATCAAATTGCTACCTTTACGCCTCATACAGTCCGTGTCTTCCCAGTCTGTCGTTGAGCAAATTCAAAAACCGGAGCAGCATCTCCGTCCTCTGATTGGGTATTCGGATTAATAAAAATCGAAATTCCGGGTTTAGGCCGACGTCGAACCAAACCCCCCCCTGCCTCCCAGAATCTAAGGGCACAGAACGAACAGACGCTAAGATAACCTTATATTGAGTAGCTTGGTCTTGGCTTTCATTGGCTAAGTCTTGCCGTAAGACGGTGCCCTGAATCAAAATGCTGGACACTGCTTAAAGGATTCGGATAGAGTAATGGTTGCGGTGGAGAATTTTGAGGGGTTGGACATGCGAACCTTTGGTTGCTCCCGACTTAGAGCCATTGGAGGCGTCTTTCTCTTAGCCAAAGGAACAGGTCTCTTTCTACGGTGCGATCTACAGGATGATCGTTGTTGGAAGCGAAACACTTGTTATGACTTTGGACTATAATTCACGAGAGGTGCAAGTATTCTAGTAGGAAGATCTGGATGGCCATAGGCTCCAGGACACAGGCTGTCCTTTGCTCTGATTGCCACTACGAGGCTTTCAAGGGGCAGTGGAACAGTCCCTAATCGATAGCAACCAAACTCGACCCTCCATCGAGAAGAAAGAACATTGAAAAATAAGAAATAAACGGCTTGGTTTCCAGCCTCGGACATATGGTATAGCCGTGGAAATTGCAAGGACGTATCGTTGTGCGTAACACCTAGGAATATCTGCATATTTAGGTTGTCGTTTGGGTAGTCACTGTACCTGACCGAGCTGGAAGGGGTTAATTCGTTCACATTCCCGCAGGTTGATCATGGGGTATCGATAGCTTAGCACAAAATGGCCTCCGTCTATAAACTGCCCCTGACCATGGGATTGGGCCTGAAAGCGGACAGCAATAGGGTCGCCGATAGATAGCGTTGGCGACCAGGTAACAGCGAGGCTGACAGGAAGGAAACCGAACATGGCCGGTCGCTGGCAGACTGAGCAGACAGAATGGTTAACCCTTTACGCGTAGGCTTCGAATGCTGAAGCTCCCAGCAAACATACATAGTAAACATGCCACGGCGGCATATGCTCATGGAGATGGAGCTGTGGCCAGACTAGCCGTACGAGGTCGAGTGTGCGACAGCAGCTCAGCAGAAATCACAGTTCAGACCAGGAAGATGCAGATACCATGTCTTTCCAGCCAAGTTATGAGAGGCTGTCAGCGGTCAGTCCTATATCCCTTCGTAATGATTTTATCGCAAAAATCGAGTCAGCAAGAATAGTGCTCAGCAGTCGTTTAAACTCTGCTTCCTTAAAAGGACATGCGGGAATCTCACCGTTCGATCCATGCCTATGCTAAGGCCCTTACGTAAGAGAAACTATCACTCCCTACATACTACAGATCGCATTCCCATTAGCGAGTCTTTATTCATTCACTGACTACCTAGGTATGACTGATACGACTGACTGCTAAACTCAATTATCGTGATAAAACCATGACCGAAAGATAAGGGGCGAGTCAGCCGCGCAGAAAACCTAGCAACACCCCACCTCCCCACCTCCCCGGGGCTATCGATAAGACGGAGGAGACACGGGTTGCGAGATGCCATAGTGACCACAGACTCAGATAGGTATGCACGTTTACAAACGATTTTCACTGACCTTTGTTTCTAGGTCCGAGAATGCTCTATCTGTTAAGTGGGCGGACATGCGACTTCTTCAGCACTGATGTGTACATAGGCCCTCGGGAGAGTTTGTTTCATAGGGCATTGCACCTAATGTGTGTCACTTATCATTTGCTGTAGCGGTAAAGTCTAAAGAAGGGAACGAGAGATCGATGACAGTGCGTTGCATGGATCCAATGCCGAGTTTCGACAGGCACCTCGGTGTGCCATATAGGTACCTACCTAGGTAAGCATTGAGCACTCTGTACATACCTCATAAGCTTCTGCTAAAGGTAAGCTACCTACCTACCCAAGGTTAGGTACACCACTGAAATGACCGTTCTAGGGTACCCACCTGAGGTCCACGGTGGCTATATGATTGGTCCCGAGATACTGCGTCCACTCTCTTCCATCCCTCAACGCTCCTGCTTGATCCAACCTGGCTCATCCTTCCCCAATTCTGCCGCTCTCCAAGAAAAATTAAAAACCTCTTCACAACCCTCCTTTCTGGATCACTTACTCAGTCCTTTTGATCTCACAGCCATATTATCTCACTTCACATCGGTAGTTATTGTTTCCTCCTCGTTCCTTTTTTTGTTGTCTCTTGTGCCCCATACGCGCCTACTCGCCGTCGTATAACTACAAACCGCCAACGCGAAAGGGGAGAGAGAAACCTGCATCCAAAATTTTCACGCGTTCCAACCAACCGATCGACGCTTCCCAAAAAGTTTTAAGATAAAATGTCTTCCCCAGAGGCCCGTGCTGGTGTCAAGCGACCCCGTAAGTTCCCATCATGCCCCTTCCCGCGACTCATCTTTGCCCTTGCATCTTGTCATTGCCCCCTTGCCAGAAGCTTCTGTGTGCCGCCTGTCGCCAAACCCCACGACTAGCAGAACTTGAACACTTGCCATTGCCCGACAGTCGCTCAGCTGCAGGGCCGACTTATAATCCCCCTCGGTCACCCCGCGAATCTTTCCCCCACGGCATGACCAATTTGACAAGCACGACACCTTCCCCTCATTTTGCAAGTACGCCAAGGCATAGCAGACATGGCAGGCAGCTCGAGCCAGGGCAAGCGGACGCAGCTTTCCCTCGCTTTTCTTCCGGTTGGCTAACGAGGTATAATTGATAGGTACCCAATCGCTCCCTCCTCCCGCCCTCCCTCAGCTGGTCGCTGAGCAGCACACTCCCATCCCCCCGGCCGACAAGGACTCTCAACGCCTTATCGTCGTTCTGTCAAACGCGAGCCTCGAGACTTATAAGGCCTCGCATGGCGGCACCGGTCGCAATGGGGCCCAGCGAGAGGAGAAGTACTCGCTCCTGAACAGTGACGAGCACATTGGCGTTATGCGCAAGATGAACCGCGACATTAGTGATGCGCGCCCAGATATTACTCACCAGGTTGGACACTACCAGCGAACTGCCTTTATTTTGCGTTGCTCCCTGATAATGCGCCTCAACGCGCCCTATTCTTGTCTGCATTCAACATGCTGACTATGCTGACCAGTGCCTCCTTACCCTGCTCGACTCTCCCATCAATAAGGCCGGCAAGCTCCAGATTTACATACACACCGCCAAGGGTGTTCTGATTGAGGTCTCTCCTTCGGTCCGCATCCCGCGTACTTTCAAGCGTTTTGCCGGTCTAATGGTGCAACTATTGCACCGCCTGTCGATCCGCTCGACCAACTCTCAGGAGAAGCTTCTGCGTGTCATTCAGAACCCCATCACGGACCACCTGCCACCCAACTGCCGCAAGGTCACCCTCAGTTTCGAGGCGCCTCTGGTTCATGTGAGAGACTACATCGACACACTTGGCCCCAAGGAAAGCGTATGCGTTTTTGTCGGCGCCATGGCCAAGGGCTCCGACAACTTTGCCGACGGTCTGGTGGACGACAAGATTTCTATCAGCAACTATAGCTTGTCTGCCAGTGTTGCTTGTAGCAAATTCTGCCATGCTGCTGAGGACTCTTGGGACATCCAGTAAGGGGCAAGGTGCGACGTGACTACCGTTGGTTTGTCTGGGCAAAGAGGGTAAGTGGTGGGAGGGAATGGCTCAAGTGGCAACGTAAGTGGTGTGTCCCCAAGGTGTCTGGGAGATTTGTTGTGCGGCCATATCGTCGAAACGAAAGCCTGGAGGCCAGCTTGGGGGTTCATGATGCAACATCATGGTGGCCGCTTGTGGCCTTGGAACTTGAGCCATCTAGTGGGTGCTTTGCGCTGTCGCTATTTTTGCGACCAAAATCTGAGCGTGTAACAACGGGTCTAGGACGCCTCCGTGGTCCAGGGCGGCATCAAATTCAACATGGCCCGTTGTTCCTTTTCTTTTTGTCCTCCCTTGAACACATGAAGGGTCTAGCTACAGCTGTCAATGATTGCTTTTGACAGTAACGGAGTGACTCGTTCCTTTCGGCAAGTGTCGTCTAAAAGAAATGACTCATTCGGCATCAGCAATAACTCCCCGCGTCAAGATTACACGTGTAACAATGGGTTCGCAATGCTCATGGAAGAAAGAAGGGAAGATGGAAAGAGTGGTGTCGGATGGGTGGAAGGATGTTGCAGCGCGACCGCGTTATATTGTCGAGTGTTTTCATTCGTGGACTGTAAATCATAATAAATCGGCGTGGTTGATCGATAGTCCGTGAACTAGACCACCAGTGACGATTCCCAAGTATGCCTAGGATGGACCATCCACGATGTTGATGCAGAAAGATGAGGAACCAGCATCTAGCTCCAGTCGATAAAAAAAGGCTGGGAGGGGCCCAAGGTGTTGAGCGACGACGTTGGTTGATCGATATAGCGGACGGTGGGTTGCGGGGTGTAAAGCCATGCTGTATGATGCCAGGCCAATCATCTATCAAGGCGCCCCGGCGTTGATGCCCAAGTGGAAAATTATAACGAGACAGGATCCGTACGATGCGACTCGTCCGCCTCGGCGAGAGACGATGCGTGGCCACGTGCGCAGGGGCACTCGTGGGTCTCACTTCCTTTGGCTGCTTGGGACCTTTGTTACAATAAAACTAAACAGCAGAAATAGAGTATCGATATGAACGAAACGGTAGACCAAGGCAGCAAGGAACATCAGTCCCAATCTGCTGGGAGAGTCGAGGTGCCCAGCCCAAGGCTGACTCACTTTAGGGGTTGATTCTATTTTTGAGACTGGGCAACGGGCGACGCGAGACCTGTGGTTGCAACAAAGGGTACGATTGGGGGGAGGTTTGACCGAGCTTGATCAAGGCGGTCAGCAGCTCAACCAGCAAGTCACCAATCGAAGAGTGTAAGGCATATGGAAGCACAATTTGTGAGGCTGGGTTCTCCTTGATCTCTGGAGCACGGAGCCGGCAAGAAATGCCAAGTCTGGGTGCTCTACCGACCTTTGGGTGAACAGGATCATGATGGAGCAAGTGCAAAACCAGAGTGAAAGCTGCGATATGATTCGGGGACGGGTGTTGCGGTGAGTTGCAAAGAAGTCGCAGGTTGGAGACGGGAAAAGTGGATCTGCGCCTGGCGGTAGACCTGGCAGGAAACGGGGACAGCGGCGGGGATGCAGTTACTCACTGTACCTATGTACGGAGTACCTACGGAGAGGTAGGAATAAGTAGGTATGTAAGTGCATGTATGTGTACGTACGCCAACCGCTACCAAACTGACCCAACCGAACCCAAGTTATCGACGGCTTGAAATGGCCGGGACTGCCACCGTGGTGGGGTACGTACGTACTGTCACAGTACAGCCGAGTCAACGCGCAACGGGCGGCGTCTGTCACTTTCCCCCCTCACTTCTTTCGACCTCTCCCTCTGCAATTTGGCGCCAAGGAACCTCTCTGAGATGCGACTCACCCATCCACTTGCACACATCCAATGAAGGATCCTATACCAGAGTATTCGCTCGTTATGATTTGTGATGGCCGTGGTAGCCCAACCGCTCCTGAAATAAAATGCGGTGCGGCATTTCTTGCCCATCCCTGTTGTCATCAGTCTCGCTCACACCTCCTTTGGTGACCTGAGCTTACGGATCCTGCATCTCAGCTTTAGCGACATTTTGATCATTAAGTTCTCTGTGAGAACGATACCATAACATGCTGCCGCTATCTTTTGAACTCTACATGAGTCAAGAAGCTGTCTCCTTCCATCGCTCTGCCAAGGTGATGGATAGATGTCCTTCCGCTGCCATGCTGCGGACTCCTTTTCGTGCGTCAGGTGGGCCGGAGGACAGCAAGACTACCGGAAAGAAAGCGGGGGTTCAGGCCGGACCAGAGGGGACGAGGGCCAGCCAGACATGGCATGACACGACGCGGCCCCGTACACGATCCAACCCACGAGGCGCGGCAAGCATTGCAAGCTACATAGTACTGAGTCAACCCCCAACACAAAAGCAGACACACATGCTAAGGAATTTCCCAGTCCTCACTTTGCAGTGTACCAATGCTAAAGCCCCCGTGCGCACGTCTGGTGCAGCAACATGATGGTTCAGTGGCCCTTGCCGGGATCATGATGTGTGGTTTATCTACAAACCCAAGATTGGCTGCGGTCCAGCGTATCCGAAGTTTTCAGTGTCAGCCGGTTAGGTACCATGACCGCCTGCAACCAGCGCGGCTTAACATGGTTTGATTGACGTTGTTTCCTGTAGTCCAGTCAATTTTTGGAGAATGACAGCAGGCAAGCCTATCGGCGACTATGGAGCATCGATAGGGCGGACTACATGCGTGCTATTTTGGCTGCCCGGTCTTACGACCACTTCATCGCCCATAATCTTGCGTACAGGTGTGTATGCTACGCTGGTCACCGGCTGCGAGCTCCGGTGCAAGGTCGTTCTTAGGCCCCTGCCAAGTTATCGCCCAAGTAGTAAAACAACGCTGAGGAGACAGGCACTACGTTGTTGTTACTGGCCGCAGCATACAGCCCACCTGCCTAGCGACGACATGCAACGCTACGCCGGATTGGATCGGAACAGGGTTGGCTGCATATTCGAATCAGCTAGACGGGGCTAGACTGGACAGGACTAAGAGAGAACACAGAGCAAGGAAACTGACTTGTCAATGTAAATTGGGCTTCGCGGCAGGAGAAATGATCAGCGTTACATATTCTCGACACGTTGAGGTAGAGGAGCCTGGAAGACCTGGAAATAAAGCACCTTTCCCAGGTTAGCAGACGAGAAGTGCGAGGCACTTAAAGCATATATGCGAACTCACCTTCAACGGCCCTTCGGCCTCTTCCCGCTGAATTCTATCCCCCATTGCCATCGTTCTCGGCTGTATCTAGACCACCGCCAGCCTTAGAGGAAGAAAAAAACCCACATCCCGTCCGCCGCCTTACGTACTTGCCTACCTACCTCTCTGTCGCCTCACTTGCCGCCCAAACGGCCGTTATATCACACATCTCGGTTTGCTGTTGCTCTGTCCTATCATCCGTTGTCTGGGCTTGGCCTGTCTTGTTTTGCTGGCCAGATCTGGTCCGGCTCAGCACCCACCAACCACTCAATATCTTAAATATGGTTCCTTATATCGATGTCTCCCATTTGCCCTCGTCAACCTCCTTCTACTCAGCCATCCTCCAACCCCTCGGCATCCACTATATATCCGCGCACGCGCAGACCGCTTGCCCTGACACCCCCGCCGACACTATTAACATCGACTCCAAGAGGACCGTCACCACTCCTAGCCCTGGCAGGCTTCCTACCACGGTCACCTATGGTACATCATCCCCGCCTACCCCAGTCCTTCAGATCCGAGAGGCCCGCAGTTCTAGCGAGCCCCTGAAGCTTTCTCGCATCGTCTTCTCCGCCCCGACCCCCTCCGCTGTCACCGGCTTCCACTCCTTTGCCGCTCGGGCCAATCCGAACCTGCAGTCCGTAGTGCCCCTTGGCCAGAGTGGCGATATCCACCGGGCCGCGGTGACCGACTTGGACGGTAACATCATGGAGGTTGTATATCAACCCCCTCCCAACTACCCTCCTTCCTACGCTGGGTCGACTATTCGAAAGACGCAGTCCACTACCAAGGAGGTCAGTCGCATTCTTAACTGGAGTTACGACGTGGCCACCTCCGAACCTTCTCCCTCCATGTCTGGCTCCGTAGCTGGTGGGCCCTCAGCATCTGCTCTGGCCATGACCGCCCGCTCCGGCCAATTACCCGGCAACGAGCCGTACACTCTCCTCCGTCGCAGCGTCACCACATCCGTCATTGAATCGCCCTCCAGGACAGAGGAGCCCGCTACCGAGCCTACCTCAGCCGCGAGCGGGATCGCTACAAGCACTGTTGTCGGAAGCCTTCTAGGTGCTGCCGTCGGTGCTGCCGCCGGCGCTGCCATCACGTATGGGATGATGCGAAAAGAACGTGCACGGGCTCCGGTTCAAGAGTTTGATGGCTCCGCTCCGCCGTTCCAGCGCCGGGCCACCTTCCCCGATCAGTACGCGGAGCCGCAAGCTGGGCATGGACGCTACGTCGAGGTCGAGCGGACTGTCGAAAAGATCCGGTACCCGGAAGCCTACCCAGCGCTTCCCGACAATCGTTCATCGCCTCAATACGGGGCCAAGTACAGCCAGGTCGGCTCCCGCACCCGTGCGGTCGACGATATGTACGATGACTCCCGCAGCCGTCACTCTTCACGCTACCAGCTCGAGAGAGGCAGTAGCGTCCGATCCCGTAGCCAGGCCGCCGTCCCTAGGACTGCCCCTCTCATGCTTACCGATTACGAGCACCGGAGCAATGCAGACTCCAGACGCAGTGTGGCCAGCAAGTCGGCCGCACCGCGCTCCATCGTCGACGATGCTAGGACTTACGTCTCAGCCAGGAGCGAAAGATCGCAGTCGACCATTCGCCCGCCCCCTCCCACTGTCGAGACAATACTAGGCGGCGGGAGCAGGGCGCCGAGTCACGCGCCAACCCGAGCACCGAGCATGGTCCCAAGCCGTGCACCAACAAAGGCACCCAGCAGGCCCCCAACTGTGGTCCGAAGCAAGGCTCCTACGACGGTGGCCCCAAGCAGGGCTCCCACCCAAGCACCTACGATTATGCCTAGTAAAGCGCCCACTAAAGCGCCCAGCAGAGCCCCGACAGCAGCTCGAACCTTGCAACCCGTCTTCGCATATCCGCCTGCCACGCGAGCCCCGACATATATGCCTGCGCGCCACCTTCCTCCGCCGAGAAGTGGGATTGGCAATAGTCATGTTGCCTGGGAAGACGATGCCGTTAGTGTGGCACCGAGCGACAGCATCAGCTGTATTGGCAGCAAGACGAGTAGACGCCAGTATCAATAGGGGAAGGGGGGTTGCGATGGTTTATTTTTATTGCTCTGGCATGTCCGCCACACGACACTTAGCAGCACTGTCGTAATGGTGCACTTGTCGTGCACCCTGACGGGAGCTTGGTTGTCGAGTGATGCAAATGATCAACAGATAACTGGGTCGCACAGGACGAGGACTAAAGTTCCACTTCAATATTCTGTTTCCATGCTATTAAGTTCGCAACGAGATCGTGCGGAGGTTTTTCTTCTTTTCTTTTTTTCACACTATATTTGATGCGTTACGCGGCACATTTATATAAGATAAAGAAGACGGTTACGGACAGCATGAAGAACCTGTCTATCTATGTTCGACTTATAGGTCCACGAATGCCATTTTCAATTATACCCGTTAGTGGACTACTCAATATGCAAGACACATTCCTGCGTTACTTCCCTTGCAGTTACAAGACCAGGGAATCCCCCATGGAGAATCGAGGAGCGAGAGGGATGACAAGATAGTTCTAAGAAGAATTTAATGGGGAAAGCAAAAGAGGAGGGGAAAGAAAGACAGAAGGCGATGACCGTTTCGACAAATACTTGTTCAGCCCGAGTTCACATAATATATACCAGAAAGTGAGAGGAGTTGGCTGTGACTCGAGTTAGTTCAACACCAAAAAAGAGGTCAGGAGATGAAAGTACTTGCAAGAAAGTAAGTGTTGTTCAGCTGGAGTACTTATTATTACTTCCTGGCATATGCGATAGGTACGAGTCAATGTCGGTATTTAATTGGAGTCGAATGCCGCGAGCACTCTCTCCGATCATCGGCACCTCCCATGACCCCTCAAGATCAATGCCCCTTGTTCCAGCCACCAAATTTGCCCTTTTGCGGCTTTCTACCGTCTTCTATTCCCCTGTCTCAAGTCAAGTGCTGGCTGGCACATGGACGGGCGTGAGAGTGTTAGTAATCTGAACTTATAAAGGTTACAACTATCCAGTCATTCCTACGCGTTACTGCTCGGCCCAAACCCCAGACTGGGACATCAACGGCGTACCGTCGTGCTCTAACATTCCATCTCACCTAGCTGGTCAAGCGCGTTTTCTATCCTAAGCTAAATCCAACAAAGTCTAAATATGAACTCTGTAAGCTACCAGGCGGTGAACGTGGTGGTCTTCTCTCTGCCACCTTCCATCAGAAGGCACACGCCATTACTCTTTTCGATAACATCGAAACAGCCAAAGGCCCCAACTTGGGAACCAACTCCACCTTGACACCGCCTTATGCACTCCTTACTCATTGAAGGAGCTGGACTGGGCCGCCGGACTGGGAGTCGACCCGGGCCTCATTCGGGTGAGCGTTGGTCTCGAGGAGATGGAAGAATTACGCAAAGTATCCACTTAAGCCTTGGAAGAGAGACGGATGTGAGCCGTGCTGCAGGTGTGAAATGTTAACAGTGACGACTGCGAGCTGTTAGGCACACAGGCGAGTCGAGAAGTTGCACAAAAGTTGTTGGAAATGGCATAGCAGTTCTATTCGGCGTAACAGTGGAGTCTGACATCTTTTCCAACCGTCGTCTTATGCTCGCGTTGCAACTGCCAAGGGTATCTCTGGGAATTCTGTAGACAAAATAAAAACAAAGCAGACCAGCGCCTCGACCTACGATGAGCCCCAGTCACATGATGGAGCATTCGGAATGCACGTACTCGGGACCGTAATCCTCGATACCCCTTTCAATTTCATTGGCGCGCTGCTTCTCTTTGGCTTCCTTCGGGAAGTACTTGCGCATGTATCTCTCAAGTTGAATATCCAAATTATCTGCGAATTCCAATGTTAGGAAGTTGGTCTTCTTGGGGTAGTGCATGTGTATCCCAGAAGAAGGGGGAAGGCGGTTCACTCACCAGCAGAGGCTTTCATGACGGTATCGGCACGGCACAATGGGCAGTGTTTCTCATTTCGACGTTGAATCTTGACAATGCATCGAATGCAAAAGACATGCCGACAAGCCAAGCGGACGGGACGGTATGCGATGGCGAAGCAAATGGGGCATAAGTAATCACTAATTTGAGGCACAACGGAAACCAGATCAGTAGACATCTGGGCGCAAATGTCCTTGGCCACAGAGCCGGCCAGCAATTTATCCGAGTGCACCTGAATCGGGAATGTCTTTGAGACACCCAGACAGGTTCGTTTATCGAACTCTGCCAAACTGTCAGTTCTGTAACGCAGCCGCAGCATCTGACTGATGTGGCAGTAGAAGAGAAAAGACCTACTCTTCAAAATCTTATATATGGCAACCTGGTTTATCTCCTGAAACTGCAGGTTTTTAAGGAGAACAGCATTCAGACGGAGGAATCGAACAAGGGCCTCGCGACTTTCGGCGATCTTGAAGGACCTGACCAGGTTACGTTTGGTCATCTCTTCCTGGAACCACTGAAGCTGCTTGGCGGCCGTCTGGCTGCTACGTGATCCGTGATCTTGCTCATTGGTAGAAAAGAACACCTGGGCGTCAAGATATAGCTCGAAAATAGTCCTCCATCTCGCGAGGTCGCTCTTGGAGAGGCGGCTGGGTTTCGTCAGATGGGAGACCTCCTGGCGCAGAGCGACAATCTCGGCCACCATTGCCCTTTCCTCTTTGGCCTGGAGAGCGTCCAGATTATTGACGTCGCTTTGCAAAATATTAAAAAACTCGCCGTCAAAGACGAGCGGAACCTCAATAAGCTCATGATGGTCTGCTAGGGCCGCTTGGCCGCGATCTTGGTCACTGCTCTGAGTATCCGATAGCTCGACCTCGGCGTTGGCGAGAGACTCGGCAGAGGATATGGGTGATGTGGTTGATTCGGAGTCATCTGTGGGCGTGGCAGTGGCTGGAATGGGTTGACCTGGATTTTGAGACTGGAAAGCGGCGATGCGTTCGATAAGAGCGCGGGACGCCGGCGTCAGCGAGGCATCAACGGCCTTTCCACCACGCATGTGGATCAAGACAGTCAATTTTGGTCTTAGCAACTTAGAGTTACCGGCGGCTAAATTGCGTCGAAACGTTAATGTCAGTTGAACGTTAATGACGACAATGACAGCGACTGGAGAGGGTGGAGGGGCAGAGAGTTTACCATCGAGGCGGTATTTGGCGGCCAGTGGCGAATCATCGGCCGGGTCGAGAAGTTGGCGCAAAGTCTCAGGATCAAGCCCAAGGTCGTTGAGTTCGCGAGCGACACGTTTGAGGACCTTCTTCAACTGACCGTAAGGAACGGCGAGGTCGATCCAGTGAGATGGAAAGTCTGCGAGAGGGCAGTATCAGTAGTTGATAATGAATATCTCATCAATCACTCATGAGTGCTCACAAAGTCCTCATGAGACCTTGAATATGGGATGAGGATGAGGTGAGTTGTGTGTCGGCGCAGATCGGATGCGTTTTTCCGACAAAGAGGATGGGGGTGTCTTCACCTTCACGCCTGAGCGTCTCCTTAAAATCATGGGCGAACTTCATGGCGCACCAAATCAGTGGTGCGAAGGTATTCGGACAAGAGTGGGAATGAGTTGGTAATGTTTAACGGATTAGAGACATGGTTTTTACCGAGATCGGCGAGGTCGAACGACAAGGTTGATAGGCCTGGATTTGAGAGAAACGGTGGAGCGGTATCTGGCGAAGAAGGGCAAACAGCCCGGTTGTCCTATATAAAATTTTCAACTTTGCTGGAGGGCGGTAATTAAAAGAGCAGATGGTAACTGCAGGTACTTGACAGTATAAGTACGTAACCGAAATCTTTCTTACCTTTTACTGGCCTGGCCTAGACTCTAGACCGGGCTTGTCGTGTGAAGGACAAGGGGCAAGGAAGGAGGGATGGACGAAGGGCACATCATCGGGCAGTGCACGTATTAGGATACACCACTAGACAATTCCAGCCAGCACCTCTGGCTTCCTGTTGTTTTTCTCAGGCACATTTCTTGAGGAAGGGAAAGCACGTCCGGTCGTCTGTATTCAAACTCTTTCCGGGGAAACATGCCAAGATAACGGCTGCATTTCAATAGTGGTAGGCGCTTAAGCTGGTAGGTGTGGGTACCACGCATGGAGAGAGGCGGAAAAGGTGACGGCTAGGGCGGCCTGGGTGTATTCGTAAATACTAACACGTGAGGGACGACGACTTCTGAACTTCTGTCCCCGAACCCCCACCTATTCCAATCTTGTGCCCTTCCTATGTGTATTTTCTTAGAGCGCAATCGAGCAAGGATTCCACATCCAAGGATGGGCCATTCGCTGCCTGGTCCCTTTTCCGTGCCGCGTACCAAGATACATGGCTACCTGCCTTGTTCAGAGTTGACCCTGGGCAGAGCGCTGCAGAATCTGCATAGGCAAAGAGTAGTTGGCATCTACAGGCTGTCGTAGAGGCTTGAATCCTCCCGCCCGACAACGTAGTCGCAGGGCCCCGCTGATTCTGTCACCACGACGTATGCACAGTTGCAGCCAGTCTGGACGGAAACCCACTGTCATACATACAGAAACAAACTACGATGTACCTGTACATACATAAAGACTAGTAGTCTTGTAGCGCGATACAGTCGCTTACTCTTGGCACATTGGTCCGCCAGGCGAACCCAGGATCCTGGTTCGTCCATCATAAGGCATAAGGTTTAACCAGGCTTAACTTGGTGGCAGCGACCATCGCTGGAACATGCAGTTGTAAGAGGAACCGGCCATCTTTGCATGCTGTCAGTCCGCCGCATTGCTGTTCTCTGTTGGTACAAAGCAGCCTAGCCGTCTTGTTTACACCGTAGTAATGCACATGTGTGACTTCGAGTTGATGTTGCAAGACACCTCTTTTCTCTTCATGTGCCCATGTAATATACAAGCAGCTATCTGTATATTTAGTTGCACACTAGCTTGGCTTGTAGCAAACAGGTCTTGTCTTGTAGATGCAAGAGTACTTGTCTCTTCATGTCCTCTTATCTTATCAAGTAAGAGTGGTGATGAGGGGTCACGGGCTCAATATGAGGGGCGTTGACACATAAAGTAAGGAAATGAGGATTGAAGTGTTTATTTAATTCGGAAATGGAAGGCGCGTCTGGGATAGGCGTTTGTTCACCGTCTTCGACCTCTCGTTTTGCGATTCGTGATTGTTCTGCCTACCTGCAAATACATCAACCCCAATAGGCCCAACATTCTGAGTCACC